CAACACACTTTGATCCTATCCATTTTCCTCTCAGTCAGAGCCATGAGATTTAGACTAACTGGTGTGAATTTGAACTGTGTTCTCTCCTGCAGCGTTGGCTATTAGTAAAATGTGTGTTTTGGTGGTAAAACAAAAGTGTACACCCATTCCTTTAATATTATATGAACTGCATCTGAAAGTGTTTGCACTGGGTTTTGAAAGTGTGATCTTGTGTCTAAGTAAAGAGAAACAGTTTCTTATCCAATATCTAAACAGTTGTTTTATTTAATGAATTCTGTTTGATCTGTTAAAGTATAATTGTTGTGAGAATGAAGCCTTTGAGGAAGAATAAATATATGTTTATGCCACTGCAAAATGATCATCTTTCTATTATATAATGCCTCACTTGAAAAATCCCCAAAAGGAGTTCCGCTGCTCTTTTTGTTAAAAACAAATAAACAAAAAAGCTGTCCTATGAAACCTGAATTAGAGATTACAGTGCATACTAGAATACCTTCTTGATAGAAAATTCACAGTTTTGAATAGGTGACTCTACTGAAAACCGAATCCTTTTTACTGAAAATGGTTCTAAAGCCACAAAAGATGGGTAGGAAAATGAGCTGATACAAGCATATGTAACTTATATGAATTGTTTATTTGATTGTATTTTAACTATGCTGTGTTGCAAGAGGCCACAATATAGATTACAAGATGTATGTCTGCAACAAGAAATACTGTTTCCTAGAAGCATAGTTTATTTTCATGTTATTTTTATGTCTTTATGTTTTTCAGAGTTTGTTTTCTTTTCCTTTTAAAAGAAATTATTAATTAATGTAAACTTCAGAGTAATTTGTTTTTTTTCTCCATGTGCTTTAGAGGATTCATCACAGGAATGAGTATGAATATTATCTTTAGTTATTTGTTCAGTGATATTGTTCAGTGGTTTTCTGAGGACACTCCATGCTTCACCTTCAGTTGATTTCCCTAACTGTAGTTTCTGCGAGATAGGAGTTAGAGGAGTTTTATCATGCAAAATACCTTTATTAATTAACAGAAAGAGTTTATCAACTGAATTTCAGGAAGGGAGAAAAGGAATTCTTTCAGAAAGTGAATAAAAGTCATGAAGTCTGTGATGAGTGCTCTCTCAGTCTCTATTAAAGCAGATTTTTTTTTCGTATGAATATTTAATATTAGGTGGTTGTAGATGCTTCAATAGGGTAATAGTGTGATCATATGACTACTGAGAATTTTTCCCCCTCTTCTGGCTCTCTTGTTACTTTAAAATGCATAATGATGATGCTGTTTAATAGGAGGTGTTCTCAATTAATTGCTAGTGCTTCTGTGTGGCATTGTTGCTATTATCATTGCTGTGACGTAGAGGCTACTTCCTCATATAAATTTTTATATAAACCTAATCCCAGAATCACAGAATTGTAGGGGTTGGAAGGGACCTCCAGAGATCATTGAGTCCAACCCCCCTGCCAAAGCAGGTTCCCTACAGCAGGTCGCACAGGTAGGCATCCAGGCAGGTGTTGAACATCTCCAGAGAAGGAGACTCCACCACCTCCCTGGGCAGCCTGTTCCAGTGCTCCGTCACCTCACCGTAAAGAAGTTCTTGCGCACATTTGTGCGGAACTTCCTATGCTGCAGATCTGTGTGACGCTGAACTCTTCTACTTCCTGTGTATTTCAGCCCAACTGTTTGGAATTTTATCAGTTCATGCTGAGCTTATCTAGAGCAGGGGTTCATGTTTTTTCTTTCAGTGAAAGCACGTAATGAAGCTGGGGATCTCGTAGCACAGACTTACCTTTTGGATATGAGAACAACTACCTGGTTTATGTCTTTTCTCTTTAGTCTCAGTTACATTGGCTGAAATTATACTGCCAGAAAGTGACAAAAGATGCACTTTCAATTCATTGCTTAAATAGCACAGGAAGCTAATATAGTTTCAGACTCCTCATGGAAGGAGGCTCTGTTTCTCAAAAGATATCAATTCTATCAGCATTTACATAACATCAGTGCATACTTGGATTTACAAAACAATAAAAGCAGTTAAATTGTAACAGTCTGGAAATTCTGGTCGTATGATAAAAAGCAACGGAGCCAATCATATTAAGGCATTTAACATCCTGTTTAGACATCAGTGATTGGTTCCCCTAGAAAAATATTCTTCTCATATAAAATTCCGTATCAGAGAGACCACTGGAGAATCAGTGCAGGGTGTAATAATAATAATAGTAATAATAATAATAATAAACAGTCATTCAAATGTTAATGCTTTCATGGGGAAGATTAACTTCTTGAGATGTACAGGGTTTTGGAGGTGAGGACAGCAGTTTGAGGGATGTTTGAGTTCAAATTAATCCTCTGAATCAATAGAAGTGCTTCTCCGTTAGAGATTCTGAAGCATTTGTAAGATAAGGCAGCCCAGAATAACCTGGGAGGATGGTTTTTCCAGGCGTGACCTTTATCTGACTTGCTCTAGGTGGGAGCCTCAGCAGGTTATGGTGTTCCATAAAAATCATTTTTTGGATGAAATGCAAATGTTTTTCTGCAATTCTGGCCTCAGTTTCACTACCTCACTGCAGTAGGTCACACAGGTAGGCGACCTACCTGTGCGACCTATCTAAAGTTTGCACATCTAGGATCAGAGAGAACTGAAGCAACCTCTGCTGAGGCTGTTAGTCACACCTGCTCAGTGTCGTTTACACACTTCATCAAGTGTAGAACTGTGTTAAGCCAATAGCTGTGAAAAATTGCTTCAAAAATCTACTGCATCTTTTGAGAAAGAAGGGATGGATATTCCTTTGCTTGCTGAATGGACCTTGCTTCGTAGGTAAGGGAGGTTTCTACTATTGTTTTTAAATGTCGTTGTCGTCATTGTGAGTGCTAATAAAGGAATGCTTGATAACTGAATACAGCTGAAGGATGATACTGAAGAATAGTCTGGAGTAACCAGTACAAATAAAACCAGCATTAGCTCTGTGGACCATAGAATGCTTCAAACTGGATGTCAGTGTTTGCACCTCAAATGAAGTAATAGGAATTTCCTGCTTGTCTTGGAAGAAGGCTCTGCTCACTGGAAATGCTAAGTTAGAGTTGGTGCTATGTGGTAGAACTCAGCACAGCACTCTTGACGTCTTTAAGTTTCAAATCTGTCTCTTCCAGTGCTTGCAGCAGAGCAGGTTTGTACTGCCTTTATTCAGGTTTTATGGTTGAACTAATATTCTCCAATTAAGTCTTCACCTGATAAGTAGTGGCATATAGAGACCCACAGGAGTACTCACATACTGCTGGAGAACTCCAACAATGCATCTTTGAAGAAAGTAGTCGGTGCTACTGATTGTATGTTTAAAAATATATATATCAAATAAGCAATTGATTTGATCATATGGTTTTTTTTCAACTCTTACCTTAGCGTAGATAAAACAATTGTATGGATGAAAAAAAAAGAAGATTTTTTTTTATCTTGCAGACATCTTATTAGTCTTGAGTTCTGATTGCTTTGGATCCAATAGTTGATATGACATCTGTAAGCAGTGCTTTATCTACCAACTTGCAGTGTCGTCTCTGTAGCAGCATGTCTTGTAACTGTTGGACTTTGTGAATAGCAACTTTGTAGACTGCAGCATTAGTGGAAGCACTGACCTTTGGCATTAATGCTGAAAAAATGTTTTGAGGAGTAACTTATTTAAAGAAAAGAAAGCTTGAGGTCTGTCATTGAATGTGTGTCGAATTCGGAAAACGTTTTCTATTCTCATCTCCATTCCTTTTCCAGAAATAGAAATACTAAAATTAAAAAAAAATCAAGGCAAGTCTTTCAGAATAAACTGTTTCAGAATTTATACACAATTTTTTGAAATGATTTTTAATTGAAAAGTTAATTATTGTACTTAGGATTTCCCATAAGTAAAAAACTACTGACATGCAGAAGATCTGCAGGAGCATGGTTTAACTCTGATTGTTTGAACTTGCAGCTTTTATTATATTTAGAAATATCTTAATATCTTAATGATTAAACATTTATGAACAAATCTCCTGTGAAAGTCTAAACCACTGGGCTTCAGAAAGTGTACAGTAAGAGAAGTTGTGCAAGTTTCCCCATGGACCTCTGCAAGTGCATGGGAATCTGAATCTGAAGAAATCCTCTTTACTCAGATACTGGGCTTCTCAAGAATAGGATTTGGAGTGGTAAATGAAAATGAATTTTCATAATTTATTCCCGTTTGAAAACAAATCTTGTTCTAAATCTTGTGTCTCATTGAGAAAATGCGGTGAGCTTAACTCTGTGTTGTCTGGCCTCTCTATTCTTAAGAAAAGAGAAACCTTTCTCCAGCATAGCAGTAGCATTTTTCATTTTTCACAATTTTCAGATTTTTGTGTCTTTTTAAGATGTTTTCTTAAGTATACAGCTGAAGAGACCAATAACAAAAAAGAAAAATCCGTAAATGATGAAAGGATTTCTCTTGGCTTAGTAGTTAACATAATAGTTCGAAAAGAAAAGAATTTACAAGTGCTTGTTCAAATGCACTGTACAGAGAGTGAATAAAATAAACAGCAAGATGTGTTGTGATAGGGACTCAGATGATCAAAGAGAACTACTGAATAGGCATACTTATTCTTTTAGATAAAATAAGGAAGTAATTCCTTTGAAAGTTTTTGTGATCTGCTGGAAAACTTCGTGTGCGTTCCTTGGAAATTCAGTGAAGAGAGAAGCAATACAGGCTAGATAATAGCATCAGCTCTGAGCACGAGGTGGCATGTGGACATTACTCGAGCTATTTCTCCAAATCATTTGAATGGAAATATTGGATTAGTTAACCTTGTGTCAGGTCTGTTAGTTAAATACACCCTCCAACTGTTTCTGACTGAAGGATGCATAGTTGTGATTGAAAGATGCTGCTGCTTTTCATTAGAATTTTGTCAAATGTATCCAGCTAACATAATGACATTAAAATAAAATGATTTATTCGGTGGAAGAGGATAACAAGCAAAAAATTCACAGCCTTTTCTTTTCGCAGGGTGTTTCAGCCCAGTAGGAAACCCTCTTAGCGGAACACTATTGGGCAGAATACAGATGGTAAGGAATTCTATCTTTGCATTTTTTTAAAATTGATGTCTAACTATAAAATGCCATTATTCACAAGTTCTCATGTAGAGAGGTGGTTTTTTTTTTTATCCTGCCCTTATTCACAAAAAAAAAAAGTATCTTCAAGCAAATTGTCTGTGTGGGCAAATAAGGTTTTTTTGCAGGTAGCTGATTGAAAGATCAGATATGTGTAAATAAAACCTTTTTTTTTAATCACTTATTTATTGTTGTTTAGAAATAAATTGGTAATTAGAAAGAGAAAAATGGAGCAAGAACTTGAAATTAAATCCTGTATTTTTACTAAAATTTTTGCTAATTTTTACTAATATGTTTGCTAATATTTCACCTATTGTAACAAATGACATCACAACTGTTCTCCATTAATTTAATGGCTCCTCTCTAAGTCTCATTGAAAACTTACAGTAATTTTTTCCTTTCTTATATTTCTCATTTCCTAATCACTGTAATAAAAAACAACAGAATCTATAATGCCATTACTTCCAACTCGTTAACCTGGATTGAGCATAGAGGGGCTAGTGATGGAAGAGTAAGTTTGTTCTGGGCTGAAATTACACGAGGCTCTACATGACTTGGACCTGTTGTGCTCAGATATTAATGCTCCATCCCCTCATGTGTGGAATGCCATGATTTAATATTCTGTGCTAATAAAGTTATGGAAGGCTTGTAAGACTCATGGGATTCACCAAGTAATTTTGAAACTGCAGTTTGACATCACTATTTCTTTGTTGACTAAATGGTTGTTGTTTACACATTTCCAACTTTTTAATTTTTACAAGTAAGTATGCATTCATTTTTCAGTTAGTATGTTAGTTTTCTGTGTCACAGAAAGCTTTATAAACAAACAGAAGATCAACTAAATAATAAATAGCAGCTTTTTTTTTTTTTTCCTGAGGGTTAGATTAAGGGTTTTAATGTTTTTGTTACATTTTCTGGTGTATAAATAATAATATGCAGAAATATGTATGTGTTGCAAGTACAATTAAATGAAGTTGTTTTAATCAAGCAAGTAAAATATTAACAAATGACAGAACAGCTTTTGAATAACTTCAGGAGCTCGAGTATTCTCTGTACATCTGAATTGATCCTTTTTTTTTATTTATTATTTTCTCTCTCTCTCTTTTTCTTTTTTCTTTTTTCTTCCCTAGCCCTGTGGGTTTTACTGCAGCAGCTGTGTTTGCATTTCTGTTTTCTGTTTGTACATTGCAGGTTTCAATAAAGTGCAGCCTGGCACAGGTTGTTTTTTTTCTTTTTTTTTTTTTTTTCCTCTAGGCAGATTATAGATTCCCATGCTCATTAAATATTGAAGAGGTGTAATCAAATAAGGAATGTAGTCATCTGAAGCCTAAGGAAGTAACTTTACAGTAGTTTTCTGACAGCAGACAGATTCATTAAAAGACCAGAGAAGAGTACATTATTCTTAGCAGTTAATGCTTTTAGAATCATTTTAATTTAGCTATTAATTCCGTCCTTGTCATTCTGTTTCCTGTAGACTGAATTTGTGCGGTTAAGTGTCCTTAGCTGAGTGTGTGTTGACAATTAATTGGACCAGAGAACATGAACAAAAATGTGACAGTGCTAACAGTATTCAATTATTTTATGTTAAGTCTCAGCTTATTTAGTATTTCATTTAAAACTTCAGTTACAGGAGTGAAGAGTTTGCATGACATTCTTAAGGAAGGAAAGGATTAAGTTAATTTCTAACCCTCGACTTTATAAGGAAAAATGAAAACAATGCAGTAACTGTGAGTGTTCTGACTGACTCTGTTAATTTAAAAAATGCATTAAATGTTACCAGATTTTTAAGCCAGTCTCAGAGCTTTGGCTGTTAATCTCTGAGGTACAGATCTGTTGACCAGACAAGGGAAGATTTGACATTGATTCCCAGTGTCCTTGCTGGAGTGTCTGCACAAGGAGCACTCCAGCTTCTTTTACATCCTTGCAGAGAACAGGTGCAGGGAGGTGGAGAGAAGCAGGAGCACTGGCAGCATCCAAGAAAGAGATGATGTCCTCCTTCATGTCACTGGTCAGTCCTTCTAACAGGAACAGGGCAGAAGTTGACTTGGGCCCTGGATTTACAGTCGTCGTATTCACCATGTTTGTGTAGTGTATGCCTAAGACTGATCTTAGACAAGTTTATTTTTCAAACTGAGTTAGTAGGAGTTAATGACTAAATGTCATATACCTTGATTTTTATATTTATTCTGACTGTAAAGAATTTGTTTGCATATAAGGGAGCGTATGAAACCACCAGTAAACTTTAAAATTTTCCATGATTATTTTCTTTAAATTTTTATATTTTTTGTATTTGAAATATAGAAATAAAATGCTGATTTTTTTTTTTTTTTTAACAGAAAAGGCAGTGATAACACATCACTTGTTCTTACTCAAAGCTGCTTCTCGTAAGGCTATGAACACTATCTACTATCTGATGCCCAAATCTTGCTGGCCACCTTACATCTCTGAATAAAAGCAAAACCTCCATTACCACAGTCACTGAAACTACTCAGTTATGGAGAAGTCATAAACATTTTAATTAGTGCTGTTACCAGTGACACTTGATATGGCAATTCTCTTATCAGCTTACTCTTACCTGAAATGCTCTCTTATTATTAGTTCTTAAAATGTTTCCTGTTTTTCTTAGAAATATCTAAGTTATCCACGTGGGCCTATTGTGGATATCCAATATCATGTTCCATAGTCTGAAGCTAGATCCATTTGTCTTTGTCTGAGGATGTTTCTTATGCTGAAAGCTCCTTGCAGTTTTGTTTGAGCCAAATCAATGTGACATGGCAGGCTTTTTTTCCTCACAGATGGTCTACTCACTTTAAGAGCAGCTCCTAAGAACTTATCTTTAGACCTCACATCTGTTTGGATGGAAGAAAAGGATTAATTAGCTTCCATCTTGCATTAAAAAAGAAGACACTAATACTAAGAACACTGTATTCACACTCTTCAGTATATATGTATTGCTTTACTGCAATCCTAAAAATGTAGCTTAATCTTGTGACGCTGCACTAAAAAAGTAACATTCTTAAACTGAACAGGCAGTTGTTTGCACCAGGTTTTTCTTGCTGAGTACCTGGTAGTTTGCAGTAGTTGATGAACAACGTGGCACTGCAGAGCCACCTTTGGTACTGTGCAGGGTTGGCAGGCCTGTGGTAAGCAGCTACGACACAATTTCCCGGCTGGTGCAGCAGCCAGCTGCCATCAGGGCTGCCAGTGCGGTTAGGGGCAGCTGGGCCCTGCTCCCTGGGCCTCTCAAGAAGAAACTCTCTGGATTGTTGTTGCCTTAGAAGTTTAACGCGGCGTCTGAGAGCGTTCAGCGTAGTCTCAGGATGACTCATGGATTTCAGATTGTTATTTCCAAGATACTCGCTCTGTTCAAGGTCTTACGCTGAGTGTTTGAGAGCGCATAAATACTTTATTAAAAAGAGAGAGACAGATTGAGACACAACAATGGGGCAATGTGAGTACCTGAACTAGATACCTAAATAATACTGCTAATATTTCTGATGAATCATTTTTGAGCAACAGGAGGCACTCCCATCCCACAGGCTAAGCACATTGCCTACACAATTCTCTTAACCTTGACAGTGAAAAGTGAGAAATAGCTGGATCCTGTAAGGCTCTGCTAGCTACCAGTAGACCATTGATCATGCCTCATACTCTGAACTGTGCTTCCATTGTTCTTTGCTCAAAATTTGCTTATCAAATCAGGCAGTTACTTTTTTTTTTTTTTTTTTTTTTTTTTAATTCTCTTTTGTGTATACACATAATTAATCAGAACTGTGGGTGGTAGGCTGAGTTGTTTTGGTAAACTTTAAGAACTGAGTGCAACTGTTCATTTCTGTATTGCATTCATCAGTATGCATTGCTTGTGTATGTAACTACGGTGATGATGCCTGGAGATGAGATCGAACCTTGGTTTTCAAGAGCATGAAGAATGTATTTCCCCTATGTGATAAGCTTAGCAAAGTTAAGAAAACAATGTGTAAGGGCAAGAATCTCTGTCACAAGAATGTCATTTACTCTGCTGAAGGTGGTAATAATGATGTTGCTTGGATCAACCAAATTAAGAAATAGAAAATAAAAGAAGTTGGGTAGAAATTCTCAAATTTCAATGTTGTTTGCAATGTGGCACAAGCTGTTATGGATGGAAATGTTTACTTCATGTTATTCTTTGATTCTTCTCTTCTAAAATATTTTTATTACTATGTAATATTTCTGTTCCACACAGTACTTAGTATCCTTTGATGCATGCAAAATCTAGGGGAAACTGGTTTCCCCTTTTGTGAAAACAGGCCATTGGAAAAAATCAGGCAAAAAAATTCCATTTCTTCCATTGTTCTTTTTTTTTCTTTTTCTGCTAATTTTTCACTGTATTTCTATTTTATATTTTGTTGTAAATTAAGGGCTGTTGTTTTTTTTTAATAGAAATCAAGTTTTGTAAGTATTGGCACATCCTAATGATTGCCCTATATATGCAGTGGTATTCCTGTGGCTTTACTGGAAGTCTGAAGAGTTAAGTGGCAAAGATGGAGCTATTAGAACTGAATGTTTAAGTATTGGCTATTAAAACCAGCCTGAAATTCTTCCTTACATGAAAGTGAAATCTTCTGAATATCAGTTCAGAGGTAAAGTTCACTGCAATGATTTCTTAAACATCTACTGTAATATTTGCAGTGCAGACAAGCTTAGGCTGTATAATCATCAATCCTCTGTCCTCCCACATGTTGTCTTTAGTGCAGCGCACACATTTGAAAAGCTTTTTAAGTTCTATAAGTATCTGCATAGCCAGCATTACTCTGGATTGCTCAACATCACTTCTGCTTTTTCTTTTTTTAAAAAAACATTTTTATTGCAGATTTTTTTTTTTTTAAGAATAGGCAAGACATATGGAAGAAGTGTAAAATTGTAGTATATCAATAACCTTTAACACTGTGTTACAATATTTAATCTTCTAGAGTGATGACCGTCTAACTGCACTGGGGGAAAGAGGAGGAAGCAGTTGTCTGCTCGACCAAGAAGCAGTAAGTATTATGTAATTTTTTGCAGTACCTGTCACACTGCATCTGTGTCTTTGAAAGCGTTGTGTTTTTTAGCATGAATTAAGGATTTTTTTTGCCACTCTAGATTTTCCTTGTTAATGTGTTCATAACCATCTTACTGGTGGTTTTACATCATTTCTCAAAAATGATTCTTTAAAATGTTGATGGGTATAGATTTTTTTTTTTTTTTTTGCTTGAATTTGTACTCAGACAACATGTAACACATATCTGAATGTCACATCAGGAGAAATTCCATTGCTTTGGGCATAATTATGAGTCTTTTACATTCTTCTTTGGTCCTGAGATACATTTCCTGTATTTCTCTCATGCTTATTTTCTGGTTATTTATCTCTAGGGAATATTATGGCAATTTCCACATTTCATTTAAACTGTCAGACTTGCTAAACCAGTTGTATTACAGGACACATTGGTATTTTAATTTTTTGTTTCTGAGAGACAAAAATAAGTGGGACTTGCTTGGTTAGTTTGAACTGTTTGTTGGCAGTGTTTCCATGTTAATTAATTTTTGTAATTTTTTTCCAAACGACAAAACATTGCAATGCTATCTTACAAAAGGCACTGCAAAAATAAATAATCATTACTCTGCCTTTCATTCTGCCAAATGCTAGTGTAAAAATCCTTTTACCTTAAGTGACCTCGTGATTTTCATAGTACTATTACTAAGGAAACCTTAACCATTGAGCTGAAGTGGGCATTGTTAGAGCACCCCTTACTGGGCATGATCATGTAAGCTTCCAGTTCTGCACGGTTTCTGTATGGAGCTCTGTAGTGTATTTTAATATGGTTCTATTCTATCATTCATATTTCTTTAGTCAACATTACTTGTAATTGCTGCAGTGTCTTTCTTAATGCTAGGAGGAGAATTATGACAGAAGATGGTCCTTGTTTAACTACTTAAATATAAGTTCATGTTTACTGAATGCATATTTAGATAAATCTCTTGTGTACCTACATGTGGTGGTATTACTTCTTTGTCACCAACCAGCTCACAAATTACCACATACAATTTTCAGTGGTAAAAGCTTTTTCATATTTTCCCATTCATAAGTGATTCATCAGTGAAGTGCGAGTATGAAAATATAAATGACATTGGCTATATTTTTACACACATAACTCATAGGTGATCATACTAAAAATAGAAATAACAAATACAAAAAACACTGCAGTTCAGCACTCTTCAGATTTAAATGCATGCATAGGTAATAAAAAAAAAAAATTGTGCAAATCTCTATTTGCATAGTAACTTTACTGTCTTTAATACCCTATACCCTTCTGTCACTCCCTAACAATCCCTGTTCCTTATCTTTTTATTTATGATTTCATGAATGTGAGGATTCTATATAGGGGAATAGTGCCCTTTGTTTAAAGAAGTCGTATTTATGATATTCACTTACAATGAAAGAAGTGAGCAATTCCCCTCTTCTTTCAGTTCACCTCTTTTCAGTCATTTCTGGCTCTGAATTTGTCAGAACAGATTTTTGTTCATAGAGCATGGGAAATAAATAAGAAATTATATTTTATATTTTCACATTCAGAATAGAAAGCAAGCTTCTGGCAATGTATTCTATGTGGTGTGCATGGTGCTGATCACTGTTAGCGCTTTCATCCTGAAAAGTATCGATGTCCTGTTTTTCACTGACAAATGGCTTTGTTATGTGAGGTGGAATTTACACCAATGTTTTTGCAGATATTTATAAAATGCTTTATGCAAATGCGTATTTCCAAAGAAACAAGAAAAATGTGAGGTGATCAAAGCAAAACTTTGCAATAACATTTTTCCACTGAACTTTTCCTTCTGGTAAAACTCTAGCACTGCTGAAGTATTTATTTGAACACATATGCTTCATATGCACTCAGAGTGGGATCTGAAGGTGGTGTAACAATTCTGAGAAAGCGAATGTATGAAGTGTTTTTTTTTCTTTTGCTTCACAAGTAAATTGCTTATAAAACTAACAGCTGCTGTTTTGAAGCTAATCTTAGTGAATTGAATGTTCTTAACCATTTCTGAAATCCCACAGTCCTTTATCTTGCCTCTCCTGCTGCTTTCCCACCACCCCTGATCCCATTAGCAAAACTCGAGACAGCCTCAGCTTTTACCAAAGTGCAGCTTTGGTTTCAGCTGCTTTTCTGCAAGAGGAAGTGAATGTTGTGCTTTTTTCTCTGTGGCATGGTTGTGATAAAGCTGTGGTGCTCTTATCTCTCTTTTAGGTAGTGGCTCTTTATGACTACACAGCGCATCGATCAGATGAGCTAACCATCCATCGCAGTGACATTATCCAAGTGTTATACAAAGATAATGATAACTGGTGGTTTGGCAGCCTAGCGAATGGACAGCAAGGCTATTTTCCAGCTAATTATGTGGCTGGTGAAAGTAAGTTTACTGCTGTCTTCCTGGTATACTGATGTGGGTTTAACTGATGGTACAAGATTTTACCATGCTGTACTGCTTATTATTTTGAAAATAAGAATTTATGTAGCACACAGGTGGCATAACGATGATTTACTATGATGCAGAAATCATATAGTTAGCTAACCGTGTAGCAAGTTGACATACCTGACTTTAGAATATATTGATGCCTGATTAAACATTCCTGCTTATATTGTATGGCTTGATTATCAGTAAACTGGATTGATTCCTCGTCCCTTCTTACATATAACCACCTGATTCGTGCCCTACCTTGGCAACGTTTTAGTACATATTTTAGCTTTTCACTGGCATCTTAGGCTTTTTAGGCAATATCTGTTAGATCTAACCGATTGCATCTTGTAAAAACTCTTGTTTCCTCCACCCCCCAGCTCTTATGGAGAATGCTATTTCCAAATAGATGAATTCCATTATGAAGTTTTAAAAGAACAATCATGGTGAAATCTCGCATCTGAGCACTGAACTTGCTACCAGGCTCTTGTAATTAAAGTGATTAGGATTAAACTAATGCAACTAAAACTGAATGTAACTGAACAAATAGTATAAGAGTCATCTTAATGAGTCAACTGATGTAAAGGTGTTCAGTGTCCTGTCAGTTAATAGTATTCAATTTATGAATATTGCGTGTGATTACATGCTACAGGAAAGACATTTGCTTTCCTAAACTATCAAGCTATCAGTTATACTGGTATTTAGAAATCTTTTAACCCAACGTTTCTCAAGATCTTCTCCTCCATTTTCTAGTTCCTTCCTCTGTCTTCCAAGTGAACTCTATTATCTATGCCTCTTCCTTTAAAAACTTGAACATACTACTGTGCTAACTGGACGATGCTACTTAAAATTAGCTGAACCGCCATCCTTCTCCTTTGTCCTCCTCCCCTCACACATCCTGTGTGTTTTCTCCTTCCTCTCTTTCTTGAAAAATAAGCTAGAGACCTTGACTCTAAATCGAAACATACTAATATAAACAAAATGAATGGGCAAACTTTGACCAGTTATCTTACAAAGTTTAGCTTCAAAGTTTTTTGACCAGTTTTAGTTCACATACAATTATTGGCTAGACAGTAATGTCATAGTTGTTCATATAATGTTGATACTTCTCTTATTGTTTCATATTGCTCACAATAGTGAATTATGATTTCTGTTTTCAGAAGAGTACGCAGAACAGCCTTCAGGACTAGTATCAGACTGTGCTCCTCTTCTGCCCAAAGGACCTGAAGAAATAGAGGAAAGTTCCCCAACACCCCATAAGGTATTAATTTGAGAAGAAAGGATTTTTTCTGCAGTAGTGATGGAGTATGTCCTTTGTATGCCAGATAGACTGTATTAATTTTCCTTCCTTTTTACAAAAATTGTAACATGTAGACTACATTGTAGGACAGCAGACTTTTTTTTTTTTCACAGCAGATATCTAACATTCATTTCTTGTGTGGATCTGTTTTGTCATATGGCAATTAAATGATCTACCTTACTCTTGCATCATTATAATGAGCACCTAAACTACCTCTGTCTCCAAGGCTGACAGAAGTATTTAATAGCTACCCGGCAGAAGTAACTGTTGAAGGAACAACATGGATTTGTCAAAACCTGACAGATTTTCTGTCATTTGCTTGTCCTTTCTGTAATATACACTGGATTGTTTTATTCTTCAAACTTTTTGCTAAGAGATTTCCATATCTATCAGATTGCTTAGAGAAGGAAAAGAAAAAATGCTGTGATGTTTTCTCTCGAGAGTTTTTTTTTAATCTATTTAGTACTTTCCTAATTAAGATGGGTAATGTCATCATAAAGCCTCATTACCAGGCCATGCAATACCCTTCATACAAACCTACTTAATTGTCAGTGGACGTTTCTGTTTAAAAGCTGCTGATGTTCCTCTGATGTGAATGACTGCTCCCATCCTGTACGTTACTCAGGAGGATACACTGCAGCAACACTAAAGTTTGAACGAACAAAGGAAATAAATATCAAGAAACCTTAAACAGAACAGTGTAATGCTTTTTTTATGACTCCACTGCTTTTTCTCAATTCCAGGTGTAATTGTTTTCTGTAATAATATGTAGGATACTACTTAGTACTTCCAGAGGTTGTCTCTTTGGTTAATTATTTTTATCCCTAAAGGACGTTCTAAGTAATTAAATAGGAATAGTCACCAGTAGTTAAGGCTTTTGTCATGACCAGCTCTAACATCACTCTCATAGTAAACAGCTTTTGAGTTGCAGTTGCATATAGCATTTTGTTTACATACTATGTACTTTTTTGCATGCAGAAATATTCCAATTTTTGTTACTTTAGTTAAAAGTCAGAATGCAGTCAGAACAGCAGCCAGAAGTTAGAGAAGATTTATGTAAAGGGGAAAAAAATAAGTAGGATGTTGGTTGGTTTTTTTTTAATGTTTAGAGTTACTGCTATGTGCAAAGCTTGTCAAAGGTTTCTCATGTCTCAAGACTGTGATCAGAAACTTTGTGTAGTTTATTTTTCCCTTCTGCAAAATAGGGATTATGTTTGTCTTACACCAAAGGATAGTTTGTAAGCAAAGAAGTGATAGAAATGAATAACTGTTAGAATGTAAGAATTATATTTTATTCCAGTACGTTTGTAGCTCTCCTTAGTATTCTTTCTGCAGCTACTCATTTACTCAAATGCTACCAATATCTCTGATTTTAAAAGGACTTCTGTTCAGATGCCTCAAAGGTGGCTTGACTTCCCGATGTACTTCTAGAAAATTGAGTATAATATTTCATCTCGTTTGCAGGACTTAACGTATGCAGAGTGTCTTGGTTACTTTTTTTCTTTTATCAATGATTTATCTTTGCTACATGATGTATGTTGTAATGTTGAAGGTTAAAACACTCAGAGCCACTTCTATTAACCTATTCTGTGCAACTTCTGTTTTTATATACGTGAATAGGGAGGTAGCATTCAATAAATTATTTAGTGCAGGTTACTCTCTTGGCAGTCTTATTGAAGCCAACCGTCTTGTAGAAGCCAGCTGTTTTAAATTGAATTACGGAGTGTTATGTTTCTAACTATACATTAAAAATGAAGTTAATCACTACACCAAGTAGTAATAATTAATCTGAAGTATCTTTTACGACTTGGTAGCTGAAAAACTTCTAGCCAAACCATTGTCCCATAAAGGGAGGGGTGATTAGGGTCTATCTAAATATGGAACAAATATAAGAAAAATAACTACATTACTGGAAAGCGTGAGGATTTCATTTAACTGTTATCTGCATTACCAGAGGCAAAGGTATTACAGGGGGAATATATTGCTATACTCTGTTTCACACATAACAGATTAGAAAAAAATGGAGAAGAGCTGGCCTATATACTGTCATTAACGACTTAATAATCTTTATCTTAATTTTTTTTTCTGTTTCAGTTTAATAGAAATCTAGTTGGTTTACTAGCTCAAAATAACTGTTAAGCAAACTAACCAGTGTTAATTGGTTACTAACCAATGCTAACCAGTACTAATGCAACCAGTATTTATTATTCAACTTTATGAGAAATAATATTTGATTAGTCTTAGATTTTGTCAAATGTCTGTGGCTGAGGTACTGTTCTAACAGTAGTTTTTGTATTACTAGTAACACTTGCAGTAGCACTTAATTTTAGTAATTTTTCACTGAGACTTTCCTTACTGTGTTCTGCTGGCACTTCAAATTAAATTGAAAAATTTTAATTTAATCATTAGTTTGAATTTTCTAGTAAAGCACATGTAATACATACATATGTTCAAATGATATAATGCATAAGCTTGCAGTAGTAGTCCAGGCAGATGTGTTGGCTTTCGTCTTGAGTAGCAGTGAACAGTGCCACAAAAGAGAAAAGTGCTAGAAAAAATGGAATAGGAGGATATACTTAGCAATATTAGACAGTGAGTAATGACAAAGAAAGTAAGTAAAATAATACATGGTGTGGAGAAGTGCACTGGATGCATCCTCCTTCCTCCTCCCTTTTGTTAAACAAGATCTGGGAGAGTTAAGCCATGATGGAACGAATGCAGTGTTGTAGAAGGAAATTTTTGTTCTTGTTTAGTTGATGTGGTGAACTAGCTCCTACAAGAAGCTATCAAAACTTAGACATTCACAGATACATATTTTTTTCATATCAAAGCTTAGGCTGAGATAATGACTAAAATTCCAGAAGCAACTAAATGACTGACAAACACAAATCTAGTTGATTTTTTTTCCAAGTTACGTAAGTATTGAGTGTACTGACGTATACATTGTATAACTCACCAAAAAGATAGTGAGTTGGAGTTGCAGCAAATGAGTCAATTCTCTGTGGGAAGCATGAGATGACTCGAAGTATAATGGTTTTAACAAGAGCTGCTGAGTGCTGCATAAAAGAAGCAAACTGTCAATGAGCTGTTTGTCATAGTGAAGTTCTGCAGAGCTTTGGCTTTCAGCAATACCAGATACTTCTCAGACAAAACTGCTAAGAGGACCACTGAGTGGGCTGATCAGTTATGGCAGTTCATGTGTTGCAGCAGTGACACAGCAACTTTTCTTCCTATTCTTTTCATTTTCTTCATTAGTAGAGCTGAAAAGAAACACCAATTTATTCTACATGATAAATATGAAAAATCATTGTTTTGTAATAGCAAAAAAAAAAAAAAAAAGCCTATTTTCTCTGGGAAAAAAAAAAAGAATAATTAAGTTGTTGCTTAAGTTGTTACCGCAGACTGGAAAATATAAGTAAATGTTTTCTGTTGAGCTTCTTTTTTGGCCACAAGCATGCTTTCCTATATACTTATATCCAGGTCTGATGTGCCTCTTGTTCTACACGTATTTTTTGAGGAATGCTGAAATATTTAGTTCTGTTAAGACTGTAGAAATAAAAAGAACATCTAAAAGGTAAATAAGGAATACTTTAGTTCTAATCACTGAGAATACCAGATAGTCTTTTTCAAACTAGTTTTCCGACTGCAGGTATTATAAGCACATGTATCTAGTTAATCATCAGAATTTACAATGAGTGAATAAAAATCGTTAACATTAGAAGAGTATGCAATACTTAGGATCCAACATTAATCTTTGCAAATACAGACCATTTTCTTGTAGTTCAAAGAGCTTTCAAAATTATTTCTACCATCAGCTTTGCATTCATGATATAATAATTTTATGCAAACCTTGTTTTCCTGCGTTATGAGTTACTTAACTCCTGAGCCACAAAATTTACTCATAATCATCTTTAATTACAACATACATTTAAACTGCCAATAGAGATTTCGTGGAGTGAAGTTCTCACTGTGCTGTTGAAGAATCCCAAGAAATGGAAACAGACCTGTCATCCGGCTGTTCCAATACATCTACTGTTTTCAGGTTCCTTAAGGTGAAAGCAGAAAAGGCAGGAGTTCAGATAGTGTTCAGTTAGAAATGAGAATTTGTGATTTTTTTCAAAACTTTAGCAAGTCTGAGATACTTCATTTTTTGACCAGAAATGTTCTACTGTCTAAAAATGTTGTGAATACCTTTTTTACCACGTATTCTTTAAACTGAATCCAAAAGGATTCTGAATGTTAAGTATTTCAGTTTGAGGTTATGTAGTAACAATAGGGAGGAGTGATTAAAAACAAATCAGTAACTTAAAATATCCATACAAACTGTAAGAAAATATTTTTTTCTAGTATATGTATCTTGGAAAAGTGAAGTCAAGGTATAAAATAATGTTTGTATGCATGAAAAGAGATGGTTTACTTCCTAGAACTACATTCTTATTGCATGGTTTGGATAATCTGACTAGAGATGATCAAAATTTGACTCCATGTATATTTAAACAAGGTTTGAGATTATCACTGTGTTCACATAAATAATTCACATTCTCACTCTTTTTTTTTCCCCAGAGCAGGTTATTAGACTTAGCCCCACATCTGTAGAAGTAACCTGCCAACCTATTGAGGCTTTTCCTCCGGGCTTAAGCTCACTCAGTGTGGTTGGATGTTTTTGTGTATTCAAAATTTATTAATTTTATTTAAAAATTAAAAAGCATAGAAAGCTTACTCAACACTATTTCCAAAAATACTAGCTAGAGATTTTGCTAGTAGTTCAATCAAAACAATGCCATGTTATAGTTTGTTCTGCTTCTATATTCTTTTTTGTTTCTTTCTTCTAGTTACTGGGAAATACTTCAGTGACTGATTATCTGTTTGGACAAGGAGGAATAAGGAAAAACAGAACTTTGAATGGGGACTCATTTTAAAAATTGACATGATAAAACTTTCACAGTGAATAGAGCTGAAGA